AGAGCCTGGAATGGAACCAGAGTCCTGATTGGCGGCATTACTCCTGCTGTGAAACCCACTGGCAAAGCATACCATGCCCCTCTACTGCTGCTCCACATAGAAATACTATGTTATCTTCTATCACTTACTGCATTAGCTCAAATGGCATTGGTCTGAGCAATGGAATTAAATATTCTGTGATGACCCATGTGGGTGTCAACGTATTGCCACATGATGGAATTTATTTTTTCCAGTTTGCTTTTTTAATAAACCAGAATATAACATATAAAATATATATTAAGATTGCAAAGTCAAGCACTCAAAATGCCCCCAAAATAAAGGCTGTTTGTGTAACCATAACTTGGTCCCCTAGCAAATATGCATTAGGAATGAGTTTTCACTTACATGATCACATACTATATTTTTTCACAGAACCCGACTGATCCACTGCACAGGATGGACCTGCTCTGAGGATCAATTAGGACTGTTTAGTGAAGGAGACTTGTCTGCAGGACTTGTCTCATTTGTTGCTGAAGTTGAAAGATGAGTAACAAATTAAACAAGTGACTGCAAAAAGAGAAAGGTCTCATCGTTAAGATAGTTAAATGCTGCCTGGAGAACTGGATTATATTCTTGCCTCTGCCACCAAGTTCTTCTGTGATGCTAAGCAAGTGACTGAAAGAAAACTTTTCAGAGGTGGTCACTACCTGTTGGCTTATTATTTTTCTGGGTGCCCAAGAGCCCTCATTTTTTGTAAAAGTGCTGAGCACTCAGCTGCACCTGAAATCAGTGGGGCCTGTGCTTGAATATATAAAGTCACATATGATATTATGTACCTTATAAAATAAACTACTAAGCATCTCAAATTGAAAACATAAAATTAGTGCATGCTTTTGATCTTATTATGTGACTAGTTTTCCATTTGTAAAATGTAGATAATATATCTCATTTAAGAGAAGTTTAATGTGTGTTTATGAAGTGCTCTGATATTATATGGATGAGTTTCACAGAAAGGCTCATGAGAAAATTAATAATTATGTCTTCAGAGCAGAGTTTGAATAGTGTTCTGTAAGTAAGGCTTGACGCCATACACTGAATAATGGAAAAGCAAAAACTGCACATTAACTGATTATCCAGCCTGTGCACTGAATGAGGCAGAGGTCTTCTGGAATGAAATAGTATGCAATTGTGTAAGTAAAGCCTGTATCATAACACTTACACACAAGGGGATCAAATTAAAGTTTCACAAGTAACCTTAATTCTGGCATTTTGTTTTTTTAATTTTCAAATGACTTTACAAACTTAATACTGACATAACCCAGAAAGTTCAGTTCTGGAGTAAGGATGTTAAATTTAGATTAATCAACTAATCGAACAGTTGATGCAATTTGCCAGCTCTTGCTACATTTCAAAGGCAGAAGCACCACAAGGGATCATGGGCTCAGCAGGGAGCTGAAGCCCTGGGGGGCGGGGGGGGGACGACTTGTACATTTCAAAAGCAGGGAGCACGGTATCAGTGGGGGGCTGCTTGATTCCCTTGCTGGCTCTGTGCTCCCCACGCATGCTTTGCTTTTGAAATGTACAAGAGCCCCCTATGGGGTTCTTGTACATTTCATAAGCAGGGAGCACAGGGCCAGTGGGGGACTGCTTGAGTCCCCCACTCACCCCCTAGTCCTGCGGCACTTTTGCTTTTGAAATGTAGTAAGAGTAGGGTTCCTGCTACATTTCAAAGGCAGAAGTTCCGCTAGTTCCCTGCTGCAACCCTGCCTCCTCTACCCCCGAGATGATGCTGAAGGGAACCGGCTTTTAAGCCAGCTCCCACCACCACCACCAGCTCCTGCTCCCGACCTTGCTGCCTCTCTCTGATAGAGGCAGCGGGGGAGGGGTGGGAAGCAACGAGTCCACTAGGTACTTACATCCCTATTCCAGAGTACCTCTTTGTCCTCATTAGATCCTAGCAAGCCTACAGTAACAGATGTATGAAAATGCTTGATTTCTTTGACTACCGTAAACCAATCTTCAGATTCACACTGCTGCTTGGGAACCTTTATACACCTTTATGTCTAGAAGAGAACCCACCCTAAAATAAAGCCAGTTGACATGGCTTCAAATAAGTTAGTCTGCAATTTGGAGATTTTAAATTACATTGAGATGCTGGCCACAATCATTGAAAAATATTCTTGAACATCAAGAAAGGACCAGCAGCACAGGGAATTTTGACAGAAGTTTTCAGTTTACACAGAAAGTGCAAGCATGTACCACAAACAAGGAATCTATACAAGTGAGTCTCACAGAAATTCTTAAAAAAATATAGAACAGAACTATTAAACCAGTGGTCCCCAAACTTTTGAGGTTGTCGGGCGCCAGGGGGCGTGGCCGTTC